AGGAACAAGGACAGTAGTCTAGTCACTCAGATGGGACAAAAAACCGAGGTACCATGTATACATTGGCTTGTACGAAAAGATCCCTTGGCAGTTGGATTCGATATTAGTAGGCAAAATTTCCCTCATAGCACATTGTATGGTATGTACCTGTCTTCATTAGCCCAGTCGGAGCAGAACAGTAGGACAATAAACCGATTTCATCAGGACAAACCTACATGAGGAAAAACCTACATTTCACAAACTTAGTAATTAGTAACGGGGGGTTGGATGGCTGAATGGTTAGCGTGCGGGCGCTGTATCATAAAGTCTGTCATTGAGTTGACTGGCGTGGTTTCGAATCCCCGGTTGTACGTGACAAGGAGTAGGGTCGCCTGTCCAACCTCCCGTTTTCTCCCACTGCTAAAGACCCCTACGCGCAAGCGAATTATGTAAATAAAAATTAAACCATATGTTAGTCCCGAAATGACCTAGTTTGTGTCGAGTAGACGTTAAACCACATTTTTCTCTCTCTCTCTCTCTAGTAATTAGTAACACACTGGCTAGCAAATGAGGGGTTCAATTTCCGTGTTGGTCGAGAAAAATGAAATGAAATCGGGTTTAACGTCCTACTGTTCTGCTCCTAAACTGAGCTAATGAAGACGAGCATACGCCATACAGTATGCTATGAAGGAAATTTTGCCCAGGCAGCGGCGCTATGGCCTACTCTTATATCAAGTTCCAACTACCAAGGGATCTTTCATGTGCACTCCTGTGTGTACACGTGACCTCAGTTTTTCATCCCTGACTAGACAGCTGTTCTTGTCAGGCCCTCCGTCCTGTATCACTGACAAGGGGAAAACACGCAGAAAAATCTGGATGAACTTTCTCAGCCAATGCAGGGATCGAACACCCGACCTCCAGGCTAGCGAGTCAGCGTCTTACCCACTTAGCCAACGTGATCCCCATGTTGGTCGAGAAAGTTCCCTTTGTTAGTAGTGGTGTAGGACAGAGGACCTCAAAAAAACAGTGTCTAGTACATCACGTTGGTGTGCACGTAAAAGAACCCTTGACATTTGGAATTTGAAATGAGAGTAGATCATTCATTCATTCGTTTTCTCTTTGTGTGTCACCTACAGACCGCAACTATTAAAGGAGCTAGATCTCTATTCTTGGGCACTTAGAAATGGATACAAAATGTAATGAAATGAAATGGGGTTTAACGTCCAACTGTTCTGCTCCGAACTGGGCTAATGAAGATGGCCATACACCAAACAGTGTGTTATGAGGGAAATTTTGCCCCGACAGTGGCACTACGGCCTACTCTTATATCGAATTCCAACTGTCAAGGGATCTTTTACATGCATGCCAATGTGTACACAGGACCTCGTTTTTTTTTTATCCCATCTGAACAACTAGACAGCTGTCCTTGTCAGGCTCTCCGTCCTGCATTACTGACAAGGGGAAACCACGCCGGAAATCTGGATGAACTTTCTCGGCCAATGCAGGGATCGAACACCCGACCTCCAGGCTAGCGAGCCAGGGTGTTACCCATTTTAATGACTAGACAGCTGTCTTGTCAGGCCCTTAATTGTTAGTATCATGACATTAAACTCACATTTGTTTTACGTTTTACAACTAATATCAGGTTTATGTTAGAAAACTAACGTTAGATTTATGTTAGAAAACTAAAGTTAGATTTATGTTATAAAATTAACATTAGATTTACGTTAGAAAACTAACGTTAAATTAACGGTTAAAATTATGACATAAAACTAACATTACATTAACGTTAGAAAACTAACATTATATTAACGTTAGAAAACTAACGTTAGATTTACGTCAGAAAACTAACGTTAGATTTACGTCAGAAAACTAACGTTAGATTTACGTCAGAAAACTAACCATAAACTAACGGTTAGAAACCTGATGTAAAATTTACGTTAGATTAACGTTAGAATTATAACCAATAATACATATATAATTATTATATCTGAATTCCGACTATATATCAATTGTTAGAATGTGCACACACTTGTAATGTTATTTAATCAAGAAGTATTCAAAGGGAAAAAAATTGGTTAGTAATTCGTCATAAAGTTTACGTTACATTTACGTCATTTTCTGACGTAAAAGTAACCATAACCATTATGACGTAAAAGTAACGTAAATTTAACCAAAGAATTTTACCATTATTGGACGCTAACCAAAATCTAACCATAATGACGTAAACTTTACGTAAATCTAACCATGAATGTTAACTGGGTAGGTTTGAGTCGAGATTACTTGCTTTCAGTTTACTCTGTTTTTGCGATAACCAATTATGTGAGAAATACCATACTGACATTCGGTTTTTAAAAGTTGTACGCGAACTAAATGCGTTTGTTAGATACTGACAGAGCAGCCCCGAGTCGAACAATCGCCGCCCGAGATGTCTTCGTCAGCTAGATTCACAATATCGTGCAATAGGTGTATTAATGTGATTTTTAGGTTTAACCCCGCAAACAATGCCAAAATAGTGTTTTCACTGCTTACAGAAAACTGAAATTTAAAAAAAAATTTTTTTATGAAGGTGACCCTCCCACACACTCCCTATCGAGCTGCCGCTCGGTCTGCGCAGCCTCATGCCTGGCACATACTGTCAACATTGTATATTTTTCCGTTTCCGCCCTTCCCCCCCACAATATATATTTCACGGCTACGTTGCGACGGTACCAGCATACCCAGTTGTTGACACCCATTACATCACTCCTGTCTAACAAATCATAAAGCTGTGGTGTTACGGTGGCGGCATAGTATTTCACCGTAACACCACAGCCACTCTAACCATTCATAATACATCTAACTATCCCTTTACAGCACTTCACTCCCTACACATTTCCCCTCGTCCTACTTTACCAAACGTCAACAACACATCTCATACATCCAGTTCGCTGGTTAACCCTTGTACCACGTCTACTGGATGCACCTCTGGGTGGGTGGAGTGTAATATACCGTTTACAGGTTAGTGTTATCTATTGGGGCGGGGCAGTGTGATATTCCCTTTGCAGTCCACTTTACACTCGGTTAAATATACACGTAGAAGGGTCGGTGTGGATTTACTCTTCCAACCGTCACAGGTTCTTACTGAATTGTTCTGAGAACAGTGAAAGAAGTTAGGGATCCGCACTTGGTTCAGGAACGGACTGGGAGTGTGGTGTGCTAGGGAACCCTACAGAATTTAATATTATCACGTAGTTTGGTGGCCATTTTATTGGTGGCCATTTTATTCAGGATATAAAGAACCATCTACAATCAAATTGTCAACGATTTTTTTGCGATGTGTAAGGGAGGGTGCGAGATCCCCGGAGCCCCTAAAGTAGGGGCCTTCAGGCTTGGTTTGGGGGTTATCGTGGTGTAGATCAATCCCCAATTGTACCCATTTACGGACTATACTGATTAGAAGTTTGTATTTCCATATTTTTTAGAAGTTGGTTGCAGTGAAGGATATTATGACGATTCACAGAACTCGTGTACGGCCTGTAGCGAGAATTGCCTTAACGGAAGATGTAATCCTGACAACGGCTTCTGTACTGACGCATGCGACGATGGCTTTTATGGCAACACCTGTGACTTCCAGTGTCCCTTGAATTGTGGGTTGTGTGGTTGCTATCGTTACACAGGGATATGTTATTATTGTGAAGATGGATGGTATGGAGAAACGTGCGATATAGCATGTGACTGCCCTCATGGATGTAACCAGGTGACGGGTGAATGTGGTTGTCAAGGTGGATTTGGAGAAGTAAGTTACTATGGGACCGCGTGTGTTTTGGAATGTAGTGCTAATTGTCACCATGGGTGTGATAAGTTAACCGGTAGATGTAACTACTGTAATGAAGGCCTATTTGGAGAACAGTGTGACCAGATGTGTTTGGGGTGTGATTTTGGCTGTTTCAGTGACCAGATTGGCGGCACGTGTTATTATTGTGGAGAAGGCCAGGCGTGGGATTATTGTGATCGAATATGTCCTGCAGGTTGTCATGGAAACGTTTGTGAACGCAATGGCTATTGTCATAATTGCAAAGTGGGTTTCTTTGGTGATTATTGTCTTGATTTTTGTCCTGGTAACTGCCTTGGCCCATGCAATAGAACTAACGCTCAATGTAGGGAATGTATAGTCGGTTTCTATGGTGATCATTGTACTGAGGGTTGTTCTGGTAACTGCCTTGGTCCATGTAATAAAATTGACGCTAAATGTAAGGACTGTAAAATCGGTTTCTTTGGTGACTGTTGCACTAAGAGTTGTCCGAGCAACTGTCTTGGACCATGCGACAGACTTGACGGCAAATGCCGAGACTGTAAAAACAATATGGCGGGCGATTTCTGCATTCTTCCTTGTAGCATCGGTTGCAAATCGAATGGAAATCAAAGGCGGTGTTATCAAGATGGTGCATGCGTATCTAAATGTGTTGATGGTTTCTACGGCAAAATGTGTGACCTTGAATGTCCATGTAAGGTCGGGTGTGATCAGAAAACTGGCGAATGTAGCACCTGCACACCCGGTACCTATGGTGATACATGTAATAGGTTATGTGGCACTACATGTGTTGATGGGTGTAGTCCAACTTCCGGTCAGTGTCATAAATGCCAGAGTGGTTACTATGGTGAACAATGTAATATGTTATGTAGAGCCACCTGTAGGGGTAAATGTGACCAAATATCGGGTAATTGTAGCAAGTGTATTCGTGGTCACTATGGTGACAAATGCCATAATTTATGTCGAGTTACCTGCATTGAAGGGTGCGATAAAGTATCGGGTGATTGTGTTTCTTGTATTCAGGGTCACTATGGCAGCAAATGCGGTAAGTTATGCAGAGGCACTTGTGAAGGAGGGTGCGATGAAGAAACGGGGAGATGCGTTCAATGTGCAAGTGGTTTCTATGGCGAAATATGCAATAAAGAATGTATCACAAATTGTAAATGTCACCATGAAAGTGGGGAATGCAACGCTTGCGTGAGTGGTTACTATGGTGACGTATGTAACATCCCATGCGCCGCCACCTGTGATTACGGCTGTGATAGGGCGACAGGTAAATGCATCAGGTGTTATACTGGTTACTATGGTGACATGTGCGAGGGTGTGTGTAACGCCAACTGTAATGGTGGTTGTGACAGAGAGGGGGCTAAATGTTACAGCTGCATAATCGGTTTTTATGGTGACGAATGTGAGCATGAATGTAATTCCAACTGTTATGGTGGATGTGACCGGAAGGGAGGAAAATGTAACAGCTGTAAAACTGGTTTCTATGGTGAAACGTGCGAGAACTCGTGTAATTCTAACTGTATTTCCGGATGTGACAGACTAGATGGTAAATGTGACAGTTGTGTCAATGGTTACTATGGAGATACGTGCAATGAAATCTGCAGTTCAACATGTAAATCTGTTGTCGGTAAAATAACTCCTATTTGTTACCAGTCCAATGGAACGTGCATTGAAGGATGTCAACCCGGTACAAGGGGAGATAACTGTGGAGATGGTAAGTTGTTCTTGCACATACGTAATCACATCTAAACTCAAGATGTGCTTTTTATAATCCATAGTAAGAAATTCGATGTTATAGATATGAGCCAGGCCATTTAATGCAATCTTAAAACTTATTTTTCTTGCTTCTTTGGTTTTTTGGGGGGTTTTTTTTTTGGGGGGGGGGGGGTGTTCGTTTGCTTGTTTAGAGTCTTTGCTCGAAATGTCTTTTAATGTGCAACCTTTTTTGATTTCATTTTGAAAATGGCGGTAACTATGTTATGTCTTTGTGATGTGTTTGTGTTTGAATTTTTTTATTGACTGTTCTAGTAACCGTGGTAAAAGTAAACCATGCACCTTTAGAGTGTAAAGATGGTTACCATGGTGATGACTGTTCTAGTAATAAACCATGTACTGTTTATGTTATATTTTAGATTGTAAAGATGGTTACTATGGTGAGGACTGTTCTAGGAACTATGGTAACTGTTGTGATAATAAACCTATGTTATATTTTTGATTGTAAAGATGGTTGCTATGGTGATGACTGTTCTAGTAACCATGGTACCGTCTATGTTATATTTTAGATTGTGAACATGGTTACTATGGTGATGGCTGTTCTAGTAATTGTGGTAAATGTTATGATAATAAAGAGTGTGATTCTGTTACTGGCAATTGTGGTATAGAGGGATGCAAGGATGGTTTTACAGGACCAAAATGTGACATCGGTAAGTTTTCCATCTATGAAGCTAAAGCCGCAATTATCAAATATCCTTGAGTCAGGGGTTAGGGATTGAGGGTTGAAGGCGGGGGGGGGGGAAATATTCTAATCCCATTGCGCCCCCTTCGTTTAGCCTCTTTGTTTATATAATATAATATGCTTTAAAAGAATATTTTTTTTATAAGAGGCTGGATGTGAGGATGGGTATTATGAAGATCCAGGTAACTCGTGTACTGCATGTAGTAAGAACTGTCAACTAGGCACCTGCAATCCTGTTAACGGATATTGTACTTATGGTTGTATAGCTGGATATTACGGTAATAACTGTGAACAGAAATGTGATACAAAATGTTACATGGATTCATGTTATCCTGATACGGGCAGATGTTACGTCTGTAAATCTGGTTGGTATGGTGACATGTGCGATCAAAGATGTAACTGTCGCAACGGATGTAACCGAGAGAACGGAAGATGCAACTGTCAGACACATCATCATACCAGTAGTCAAATAAGTTATTACGGATCTTCGTGTCGACAGAAATGTAGTGAATACTGTTTCTACGGGTGTGATAAATATAGCGGTAGGTGTCACACGTGTGTTGAAAAGAAATATGGCGACAATTGTGATAAGAATTGTTCAAATTGCCACCAATGTTACAACGATCAAGATGGTGGCACCTGTGATAGTTGTGAAGCCGGGCAATACGGAGATAAATGCGACTTAAAGTGTCCTGAAGGTTGTGAAGGTGGTGTATGTTCAAGAGATGGCCGTTGCCATAGTTGTAAGTTGGGTTACTATGGTGACCAATGTACTGCCAGTTGCCCCAGTAACTGTCTAGATTCCTGTGGTAGAATTGACGGAAAATGTAAGGATTGTAAATTTAATATGGCCGGCGACTTCTGCAATCTTACTTGTAGCGATAGATGCTTATTGCGGCAAAATCAAAGGCGGTGTTATCAAAATGGTACATGCGTACTGAAATGTGTTGATGGTTTCTATGGTGAAATGTGTAATATGCCATGTAGTTCTAAATGTGATTACGGCGGATGTGATCAACAAACCGGAAAATGCAATCGGTGCATTATGGGTTACTATGGTGACACATGCAATATGCTATGCAGAACTACGTGTGATGGAGGGTGTAAACAATCGCTGGGTGAATGTATCAAATGTCATAACGGTTACTATGGCGCCAACTGCGAAAGGTTATGTCGTGTTACATGTGATAGGGGATGTGACAAAGAATCCGGTAAATGTAACTACTGTCTCCGTGGTCACTATGGCGACGACTGTAGCATATTATGTAGAGTGACGTGCGTTGGCGGATGTGACAAAATAGCTGGCAAATGTAACAGCTGTATGCACGGACACCATGGTGACAAATGTAATAGGTTATGTAGAGTTACGTGTGAAGGTGGGTGTGACAAAGTTACTGGTAAATGCCGTGAGTGTTTGAGCGGTTACCATGGAGACACGTGTGATTTAAAATGTGATAAACATTGCATTTGTGAAAAGGACAACGGGAAATGTATAACGTGTAAGACTGGTTACTATGGTGACAGTTGCGGCTACAAATGTAGCTCCACGTGTGAAGATGGATGTGATAGGACAAGTGGAAAATGTATAAAATGTTATGACAGTTACTATGGTGACAGGTGCGAGGAGGTGTGTAATTCCAATTGTCATGGTGGTTGTGAGAGAACGGGGGGTAAATGTAACAGCTGTAAAACTGGTAACTATGGTGACTACTGTAATGAAGCTTGTAGTGCAAATTGTAAAGAGGTAGACGGTACAACGACTCCGGCCTGTTTCCAGAAGAATGGAACCTGTACTGACGGATGCCAACCTGGCAGAAGGGGAGATTACCGTGAGATAGGTAGGTTCTTTGGTCTCAGTCCACTAATTATTTTTGATTTTTATCAATGTAGTGCCACTTATTTATTGACACATTCTTTCGCTTCTTGGTCGAGCCTTTACTATGCCTATTTTGGTTTATGTTTTTGGTCTAGAAAAGTTGAAAAGGGCTAGATTGTGACGATGGTTACTATGGTGATGACTTTTTTTTATATGTGCCTTCTATTTTATATTTTAAAGATGTGCCATCTATGATATTTTAGATTGTAAAGATGGTTTCTATGGTGATGGCTGTTCTATTAACAATGATAAATGTTATGATAATAAACCATGTACCATCTATGTAATATTTTAGATTGTAAAGATGGTTACCATGGTGATGACTGGGCTGTTCTAACAACTATGGCAATGGTTGTGATAATAAACCGTATATATTCTATGTTATATTTTAGATTGTTGAAAGGGTTGCTATGGTGATGGCTGTTCTAGTTACTATTGTAACTGTTATGGCCATTAACCATGTACTGTCTCTGTTCTATTTTAGATTGTAAAGATGGTTTTTATGGTGATGGTTCGTCTACTAACTATGGTAACTGTTACGATAACAAACCATGTACCGTCTATGTTATATTTATTTGTGAGCATGGTTACCATGGTGATGGCTGTTCTAGAAATTGTCGTTACTGTTATGATCAATAACCATGTACTGTCTATGTTATATTTTAGATTGTGAAAATGGTTACTATGGAGATGGCTGTTCTAGCAATTGCGGTAACTGTTATGATAATACACCATGTGATGTCGTCACTGGTAGATGTGGTGCGGTAGGCTGCCAAGAAGGATTTACAGGGCCAAAATGTGACGTCGGTTAGTTTCACCTGCTACGCCATCTTTGCGTTACTATGACAAAACACAGCAAGACAGAAATTGGGTTTAGCATTTAGAAATCCGTCGTGGTACGGGTGGGGGGGGCGGCATTTGTTTGGCGGAAACTCGATTGGTAGAGCTGCACAGTAGTACGATAAACCCCATTTCATTTCAGTTTGTTTCCAGTATAACACCTTTATCAGTGAACCGATGTTGCTGTATGTTGAGAAGGGGAGGGGTGGTGGATTGCCGAATGGTTAGCACGTGCGCGCTGTATCATAAAGCCTGTCATTGAGTCAACTGGCGTGGTTTCGAATCCCCGGTTGTACGTGACAAGGAATAGGGTCACCTGTCCAACCTCGTGGGTTTTCTCCGGTTTCCTCCCACTGCATAAGACCCCTACGCGCAAGCGAATTATTGAAATAAAATTAGACCATATGTTAGTCCCGAAATGACCTAGTTTGTGTCGAGTGGACGTTAAACACCATTTCTCTCTCTCTCTCTCTCTCTGCTGTATGTTGAGGTTTTGTATAGTAATAGTCACGAAATAACGAAGTTGATAATAATGAATAGAAACATATTTTTATTAAATTTATGATTATATAGGTTCCAAAACAACCAAAATTATAGACATGTCTTAATTTAATTCTACAGTTCGGTCGGGCTTTATTATTTGTTATTTTGTTTTTGTTTTTGTTTTTGTTTCAGAGGACGTTCTGTATACTGGTTGAAGACCAACTAGTTCGAGACTACCAGTGTTATATATTATCCCGCGTAGAATGAAGTGAAGAGTGGAATACTGAAACTGGATCCATCCTTCTGTCCGGCTTTCCTTCCGTTCTCGTCGTTTTTTTCGGGGCATATCTCATAAACCGTCCAAGATATCTTTATAACACATGATACGACATCAACTTAAACATACATTATGCAAGAGCTAAATCTGCCTATTGCAGGTCTTTCTTTAAGCCTAAAATGATATCTATATTAAAATTAGACATTAATTAACTTATCCAGACCATAATCAACTCTCGATGTCATGGCTAGCCTGCTATGTTTACTGGATTTGAATCCGATATACTGCTCAACGCTCATTGATTTAATCAATTTAAAAGTGGATAATCGAGGCTATTTTTTTTATCGTCCCGACGTTTGTAATGATGATCGAGGCTAGGCCTAAAATTCAAAAGCAAATATCTCGATTCAGAGTGGATCAATTTGACTGAAATTTTCAGCAAATTCCCTTTACATTATCTAGTTATTAACTATTATAGTGAGAACTGTCAGCTCTTTATCAAATCTTCCATAATACCCCTTTAATATAGAAATTGGAGAGTTCTCGGAATTAATCACCATGGAAACAGATGTGACTTAGTGTTTGGTATATAATTATTATTCTGGAACAGAAGCGATTCATTATGTCATTATAAAACTTTGTACATGTCTATTAAAATAGTTAGCTGATTTGACAATGCGGGGATCCACGACCGAATAGTTAGCGGATGCGCGCTGTATGGTCTGTCATTGAGTCAACTGGCGTGGTTTCGATTTCCCGGTTGTACGTGACAAGGAGTAGGGTCGCCTGTACATCTTCGTGGGTTTTCTCCGGGTCCTCCGGTTTCCTCCCACGGCTAAGCGAATTATTGAAATAAAATTAAACCATATGTTAGTCCCGAAATGACCTATTTTGTGTCGAGTGGACGGTAAACCCCATTTCTTTCTCTCTGATTTGACAATAGTTTAATACATGTTGTGTTTCTTTGAAAACACAATAAACGTAGTTTTTGTATATTATATATACATTTACAGCGTATTATTCTGGAACACATCCCCGGAACCATTCAAGACCTTTGTGAATCTTTATGAATTTTTGTTCCAAATTGTAACATCTAGAACTAACCATTTAAACATACAGTCTGCATGAGCTAAATCTGCCTATTGCAGGTCTTCTTTAGGCCTTAAATGTTTTCTAAATTATTAATTAGACATTAATTAACTTATCCAGGCCATAATCAACTCTCGATGACATCGGATTTCTTCGATATTAAACAGATTAGAACAGTTCAGCCATATTTTGATTTAAGCTAAAATAAAATGGAGGTGCGAGACTTAGCTTCGAACAACCAGTACGGTGGTTGAAATTATTACACACGTCTTGTCAAATTATTCATTTTACATTATCTAGTTTTTAACTATTATAGTGAGAATTGCCAACTCGTTATCGAATCTACCATAATGTATCTTTAACTATTGGTTAAACAAAACGTCGATGGTATTTTGTAATCAAACTCAATTGATCATTAATTTATGGCCTCTGTAACCATTGAGGTGTCTAATTGTTATAAATCCTATAACATGTCAATCTGATCAAAACACAGATCCTATTTCGTTTCGTTTTTTTTTATAGTTCAAAATTTCGTTTTACTTGTCTTCACAACACTATGATCTGGAAGAGTTGTTATATAACATGTGGTCTAATTGTTGTGAGAAAATAGCCAATGGAGTGCTTTGCACGGAACTGTGGGTAAACCCCTAGAAACGTCAACGCTGACTGATTAATCAATGTCTTACGGCATAGGGTCAAAAGCCGCTCGTATGACCCCTGGTGTGACCTCCCAGTACAACTGGCCAGATCTTCATGTAGTGTAGTCCATCGAATGTATAAAAACGAAACGAAATATAGATCTGTATTATAATCAGATGAATAACATGTTCACAATCACGTGTAACCAATAATCTTTGAGTGGCATTTTAATAACTGGTAGATAAATAAACTATAACATACTTATGAAAAATATATACTGGTTTATTTAGGCGACGTTCCGACCTGTATTCTCTTGGCGTTTTTAAGCTTAATAAATCAGCAGCTGTTTTCAATATGTCTTTAGTTAAGTGCTATAGTTTATTAAACATGCATTATGCAAGAGCAAATTCTGCTTATTACAAGTCTTTCTTTAGGCCTGAAATGTTATCTAAATTATCAATTAGACATTAATTAACTTATCCAGACCATAATAAACTCTCGATGTCAAGGCTAGCCTTCGATGTTGGCTGGATTAGATTCCTATATGCCACTAACGGCCATTGATAATTTTAAAATAAAAAAAGTGGATAATCGAGACTATGCTGTTTATATTAATGATTTTAGTAATGATGACCGAGACTATGCAAAACATTTCAACCGCTTATTTCACGGCTCATAGTGGATAAATTTGACTGAAATTTTCAGCAAATTACCTTTACACTATCTAGTTTTTAACTATTATAGCGAGAAATGCCATCTCTTTATCTTATCTCCCATAATGTATCTTTAACTATAACTATGTTAAACATCGTATAACCGTTATACGATGTTTAACAAATAGGTATACTATAACTTGTACACAAATATACTATTCAAAAAAAGTAGGGGATATTTGATTTTGGGGGCATAATACTAAAATATGCAAATGACTACGAAAAAAGTCACTATAGAACCTAACAGAAGAAACATTTCCAGTTACATGTGACGCCCAAACGCACCAATAGCTACCGCATGGAATGCAGGTGATGCTTGGGATCATCATGGGGGTCCAACCCAAGATTTGCACGACTCTGACTTTGAATGTTACAGTCATTGTGGCATTGAATTCCAGGGTGGAAACATCAGTTTAATTGTTTTAGTGACCAGAAAACAAATTTTGATATGCGTCGGCTTGCCCAAAATGAAAGGTTACGTGCCCTTGGCATGCTACAGATCGGCACAACACAGGCGGTTGTGGCGCGGACGATGAATGTTTCTCAGTCTGTCATAAGCAGGCTATGGTCCAGATACCGTGATACACAATCTGTACAGGACAGACCACGCTCAGGTCGACCAAGGGCGACAACTCAAGCCCAGGATCGATTTATCCGTACCTTGGCCTTGAGAAATCGTGTCATCACAGCAAATCAGATCAGCGCTCGTCTTCAAACAGACACTGGTGTGAGAGTGAGTGGCCAGACGATTCGGAATCGACTGCATAGGGGTCACCTTCGCGCCCGACGTCCTCGCGTGATCCCTTGTTTGAGAGATCATCACATTCAGGCAAGACGTCGTTGGTGTAGGGATCGTCAACACTGGGATAATCGACGCTGGAGCAATGTGATGTTTTCAGATGAGTCAAGGTTCACTGTTGATTTTTTGGACAGACGTAGGAGGGTGTGGCGTCGTCGAAACGAGCGCTTCCAAGACGTTAACGTCATCAGACATGATCGATTTGGGGGTGGTTCTGTTATGGTGTGGGGAGGCATCACTGTTGCTGGAAGAACGGCTTTACATGTTGTTGCAGGGCGTGTTACAGGCCAGTACTACCGGGACAACATCTTGGCAGCCCATGTTGTGCCGTTCGCACGACGTCATGGCCGCCTTTTCATCTTCCAGGATGACAACGCAAGATGTCACAGGGCCAGGATCGTTACAGGTTACCTCCAACAACAGAACATCACCACATTACCTTGGCCAGCACTGAGTCCCGACCTCTCCCCCATCGAGCATGTCTGGGACATGCTTGGACAGAGGTTACGTCAACGTCAACAACGTCCTGCCAATGTCCAAGAACTTGCTGCTGCGTTGCAACAGGAATGGGACAATCTGGACCAAAATGACCTTAGACGTCTCATTAGGAGTATGCCACGTCGGATCAATGCTTGTTTGGCAAACAGAGTAGGATTTACCCGTTACTGACTTGGTTGTGATGCTGTGGTAACTTTGCTGTTTGACCCCGGGTATCATTTTACCCTTATAATGGTCAGTCTGTGCCTTACTTAGTCTAACGATCATTTGGAATAAATCGATGAATGTGAACTTCATTTCATTTTGTCATTTGTTTCTTCGTCAGTTTCATTAGGTGACTTTAATAACACTTAAAAATCAAATATCCCCTACTTTTTTTGAATAGTATATAACCAGGTAGTCTCATTGGAATGTTTGATACTACTTGTTAAACGTCTTATAACATGTTCACAAATATAACCAAGTAGTCTAATTGGAATGTTTGATACTATGTGTTTAAACATACATTATACAAGAGCTAAATCTGCCTATTGCAGGTCTTTCATTGTTATATAAATTATTAATTAGACATTTATTAACAAAACAAGACCATCGATGGCATCGGATACTCGAGATTTCAACTAGATTAGAAAGATTCGCTATTTAAAAATTTAATTTAAAAATGGGAAAGCGAGGTTACCACTATGCACACATCTTGTCAAAACTACAGTATTCCCTTTTTTGATCATTTATATTTGAATTATTATAGCAAGAATGGCCAACTCTTTATTAAACTCTTAAAGGCTCAATACCACTCTTGTTGCAACTAAATAATATTTCCCAATCATTATTCTGGTCAAAAAATTGTACTATTATACAATATTCCAATTAATTGATGATACAAATTTCATCTTACCTAATTTTAAAAATTGGAAAAATTCAACGAAATGATTTGAAAAGCCTGACGTAAAGCTTTTCAAAGGTTACTTGGATTTAAAAATATTTTTGAACTCTCTGGACAAGTAAAATAGGATGTAATGGATAATTTACACAACAGGTAGGACACTAACACATCTAGTACTTAGAATAAGGCTATTTTTTATTTTCTGGAGCTGTCAAGCCAGCAAGAGTGTTATTGTCCCTTTAAATAATGTATCTTTAACATCTTATAACATGTCTACTAATAGTATTTGGGTGTTGCCATGGTTATTAATAACTATGAGATTGTATATCACTTTACCTTCCAAACTATGTTCAAGGATGTTGATGAACGAAGTAATTCATTGATACATTTAACAGATTTAAATATGATGTATATATATATATATGTTATTGTTTAAATTATATTTTTGAATTTCATTTTTAATCTGTTTGTTTTATATCATCGGTAAGGTTGGGGGTGTGGGCGTCCGGATTTCAGTTTGGTTTCCAAAGTAAATAAGATTCGTTTAAAGGTGCATTATGTAAATTATGTGTAAAGATTCCATAATCAACTCTCTAGACCATCGGATGGTTGTGATTTTGAACGGATTGAAACAGTCGCCATTTAACAATTTAATGTAACAAGCGGTTCCCATGCAAGCTACGCCCACATTTTGCAAGAGCTGGGCAAAGAACAAGCTAAAAACACAGTCCGATACGCGCGAATATTGACATGAACTGAGATCTTTGGGTTATAAACATACATTAAAATGTCATCAATATCGAATAAAAATTGTGACCTCTAGAGTGTCCACACGTTAAAAATGTGATTTTTCGTACAATCAGTGGCCATACTCCGGGAAGTTACGTTCCGGTACATGCCAATGTCGAAAGGTACAGAGAGCTTTGGGAGATAGATCTATATTTCAAGTTTCGTCAAAATCGGATAAAAATTGTGACCTGTAGACAGACGGACGTCCAGACAGGGGCGACGACAATATATTCTTTTGTCATTATCTATTATAGTGAAAACTGTCAGCTCTTTATCTAAATCTTACACAATATATTTTGAAGTATGCAAATAAAAGTCCAAAATGTGAAGAGGTGGCCTATTTGGCTTATCTGAATGTTGCAGCTGAAGATATTGATTATTGGGGTTGTATAATACGGTTGGGTTATCCGGTTCGGCGTTTTAAAGGACAATATTGGCGCCAGTCATTATCACATATGTGATAGAACTGGTTAAACACGTTCCAAATATTATTTTATCACAGAGATCGTTGCTACGATAGATGAGTAATCAATGTTTCAACAATAGAAAGTGACGAACGCAAAAGGAAAACACGAGTTATCCCTTTATATAACTGAATGAAGTGACGGGTGATAACAGATACATGGACGAATTTCTGCTAACTAATAATTCATGTGATAATGACTGACACCAATATTGTCCTTTAAGATCCGATAAGCGTGGCTGTTAAATAATGAGAAAGTTTGATTTTGCTTCCTGAGGCAAACCCCCGAGGTATAGCGGCACAAGAAAAACAATGCATGAATGAATTGTGTTTAACGTTTATCAAGGGTTCTTTTACGTGCACGCCAACATGTACATAGGATTGTGTTTTCGTCCCATCCGAACGACTAGATGTTGTTCCTTGCCACATGTTTGTTGGTGGGCTCTGCTAAGTCAGTATTTTTTTTTTAAATTTAAGGTATTTCGCTATTGACTTTACATGTAGGACCGGATTTATAAAAGGGGGGGGGGGCAATAGAATCCCATGTCAGAACGGTTTCCAAGGTTTCCTTTATAAAAAGAATGTAATAAATATAATATTAGTTTTATTATTAAAAAGAATTAACAAACTCTGATCAGAGATATATTTTGGCAACCCACTCAGATATAAATTACTAAACCACTGAGATATAACCCATTGAGATATATTTTACCAACCAACTGACATATATTTTGTCCCCACCCAAGCATGGAGATGTTGACAACAAAGTAAAGATATCAAGTGTCAGTGGTATGACAACATGTTGAAAACTTAAAGGAGCTAAATCGCTAATATTTGGGACCTTGAAATTGACACAAATGGGTCGCCCTTCATATAATAATGTAATATGAATGTATATAAACTGATTTACATTCAGTCGTTTCCGTTTTTACTATAATTACAAATCAGTTATGTTCGGTGAAATACGCCAGAAGTCTCAATCGAATGACAATCTCTAGCGTCTAGTTATTCTAGTCTACATAGTATTTATTGTGTATACTCTCCAGATATGAATATATTTATGCAGTCACCGTTTGACATGACTTGTGGAATATTGTCTAGCCTTGTTCGTCGAGTCCCTTGTTAAAAATGGGCCTGAAACGCATTATGGTACACGATTCGTGTACCAATGGTAAAATGTTTATTTTGTCTTAAATATTGGATATCATCAAGCCCATCTTTTCCCGGTAAGATCACAATATCAATGTTGATTTAAATTGACAAATAATTTGTGTTTTCAATGTCGAAGACTTTGGATGATATTGAGTTAGAGGCTTAGCTACTTTAAGTGCGAGGGGGGGGGGCTGAATGGTTAGCACGTGCGCGCGCTGTATCACAAGGCCTGTCATTGAGTCAACTGCCGTGGTTTCGAATCCTCGGTTGTACGTGACAAGGAGTAGGGTCGCCTGTCCAGCCTCGTGGGTTTTCTCCGGTTCCTCCGGTTTCCCCCCACTGATAAAGACCCCTGCGCGCAAGCGAATTATTGAAATAAAATTAAAACCATATGTTAGTCCCGAAATGACCTAGTTTGTTTCGAGTGGACGTTAAACCCCATTTCTCTCTCTCCCTCACTTTAAGTGCGAAAAAGGGTTATGTTTCAATCGCCAGAAAGATGCTACAACCACCACAATCCAACAAGAGACAGAGTGCAGTAGAAGAATTTGCGGCATCTAATTTTCCAGTAATTTCGGGTTCAAATTAGAACCGCCAAAAAGTGTCGTTGAATATACAGTGGGAATAAGAATTTGGAAAATTTGACGGCTGCGAATCGTGGTAGCGGGAATCTAGTATTTAACCCGTTGTATTAACATCTTCTATTTCTATGGTAACATTGGATTGCACGAATAAAATGAATAGTCAGACTTTTTATGTCCCTTAACGCCGTCACATGTGTAAAAATAAAATAGATATTTGAGTAACATCCTTGTTGAATAAGTATGCCAATAATAATATATACTATAAAGAAGACGATGTGTGAAATTGTATCAACGATAAATATATGGTTGGTGTAATTCATTATTAAATAATAGCCCATGACGTGACTTTTAAATTTTTTAATAACCAGTCATTTCGGGACTAATGGTTTAATTTTATTTCAATAATTCGCTTGTGCGTAGGGGTCTTTAGCAGTGGGAGGAAACCGGAGGACTCGGAGAAAACCCACGAGGTTGGACAGGCGATCCTACTCCTTATCACGTACAACCGGGGATTCGAAACCACGCCAGTTGACTCAATGACAGGCCGTATGATACAGCACGCACGTGCTAACCATTCGGCCATCCAACCCCCCAGCATTTTATGAAGAGTGTGTCATCGATATCCTCTTACCAAGATATATCTAGAAATAGATCACAATACATAAAATAGTCCCCTGGCGCATGGGGGGGGGGGGTGCAGATCCTGAAATGCCCGAGAGAGGCGAAGGAGTAGAGCTTACCGTATAGGACACATTTAGCACCCAGCCCCCCCCTCCCGAAAGGAAATGAAATGAAATGGGGTTTAACGTCCTACTGTTCGGCCAGGAAACCGGAGGACTCGGAGAAAACCCACGAGGTTGGACAGGCGATCCTACTCCTTATCACGTACAACCGGGGATTCGAAACCACGCCAGTTGACTCAATGACAGGCCGTATGATACAGCACGCACGTGCTAACCATTCGGCCATCCAACCCCCCAGCATTTTATGAAGAGTGTGTCATCGATATCCTCTTACCAAGATATATCTAGAAATAGATCACAATACATAAAATAGTCCCCTGGCGCATGGGGGGGGGGGGGCGGGGCAGATCCTGAAATGCCCGAGAGAGGCGAAGGAGTAGAGCTTACCGTATAGGACACATTTAGCACCCAGCCCCCCCCCCCCCTCCCGAAAGGAAATGAAATGAAATGGGGTTTAACGTCCTACTGTTCTGTCCTATACTGGGCTAATGAAGACGGGCATACGCCATACAGTGTGCTATGAGGGAAATTTTCCCCGGGCAGCGGCATTACGGCCTACTCTTATATCGAATTCCAACTGCCAAGGGATCTTTTACGTGCATTCCAATGTATACACGGGATCTCGGTTTTTCGTCTCATCCGAAGGACTACACAGCTGTCCTTGTCAGGCCCTCCATTCTGCACCACTGACAAGGGGGAAACCACGTCGGTCAATGCAGGGATCGAACACCCGACCTCCAGGCTAGCGAGCCAGCGTCTTAACCACCTAGCCACCGTGGGTCCCCTCCCGAAAGGAAAATTTAACGACTGCAAACGCGATTTACTGCTATTCCAGCCCATGCATACAGAAACTTCAAAGTGGTCTAATATAGCCGATGATTAGGTGGCTGGCTCGGATTTTAATTAACCAATCAATCGTTTACAGTCCACGTTTCACCTGGCAAACTTAATTTCTTAATTAATGTATGTACCTTCTTTAAAATAAGTTAATTTTATACTATTAGTACTTATTACACATACGCAGCCCAATCTACTGAAACAACATTCATTTATGAGCAAATATTAACAATAAAGTAAATCAAGCGTTGTTTTTATCAAAATTGATACCGACATTCATAATTACTTCTGTGCAACACTGATCTGGTTAGTACTTTGACCCGCCTTTATGTGTTAAAGACGTAAATTTAAAATGTCGGAGAAAGCAATCTATTATCACTTTGATTTAAAAAGAGGGGATTTGTACCCATATCAGGTAGGATTTTCTGCTTAATTGTAGTTGGGTGTGGCAGAAATATTATAAAATAACAATAACCAATCGTTGTTTTGATGAAAAATATTGTAAATTTTGCCAACGCAAATCGCATCGGGCTTTGCTACGTGGAACTATATAGGACCATCCAGAGCCTTGTATATAGACTGGGACCATCTCTTATCTTGAAACACGGAGGGTTGAGAGATGGGGTTTGTTATCTATACGGCGAATAAGCCTAGTTACATGTACATGTTTTTAGTATGCTACTTCAAGGTTGTGTATGTCAAAATTTGATTGGTCAATCTCATACAAATTTTGGTGAAAAGCATTCAGCCCAACGAAAATTTTCTGATAAGTTTGAGCCAGGCAAAGAGACCAGAATTAACATTGAAGTCAATTGTGAAATTAATCGTGGTCTGCCTCCTAGATAGTTATTCAGGAGTTATGTCCCTTTCCCTTTGCAAGCATGTGCGCATGAAAGTCCAATTTTATCACAAAAACGGAATAATTGTAAAAACAAAATAACATAATTAGCACCCGGAACATTCATTTAAACGAAATATATTAGTACTAAGGGTGATACTGGGTGAAATATTGCTGACTTTGGATGGATTTTGTGTACTTTTGATTTGTGTCGTCTGTGGAACGGATGGGTAAGTAAAAGTAATGCGCATGTACCCCATCAGTGGAGGCTGAATCAACTTCCGATTCCGAATCAAAGTAACCTGTAACGGTGAAACGAGGGAGATTTGATATGGAAGAAATCGAAGTTTGGTGACAGAAGAAATGATTGAAAGAAGTTTGTATTTTAAAATATTTTGTGACGATGGGGATTGCAAAATTTCTCATTTAGCTGGCAGACTTTGGACGTACCATACATATGATATATTAATAAATATTATATAAATAACTTATTTAGAAATTAGAATGATCTATGACCTTATCAATCATCTATGAGAAAAATCACTGTTTTTATTGCCGAGATCAAGTCAGCCCTCAGTAACTTATCCTTCACTAAGAAAGATATCATGCTACATATCTCTGAAAAGCACATTCATTGCTCTTTCCAAATATATATAGATATAGGCCTAATTTTCTGGCACATTTATCTTTACTTACGTTGACAAACTATCAAAGTTGGATAATACTGAACTCTATGGAATTACCTTTGTGTGTGTGTGGGGGGGGGGGGGGGGTATTCAATGTCAAATTATGGGTCTTAATACGAAATTCCAGATATCATGTTAATATCACTGAAAAGCACATTCATTATTTCTCTTTTCAAATAAATAATTATAATTCTCTAGCTGGCACATTAATATTTACGTACCTTGACAAACTATTGAAGTAGGATAATACTGAACTCTATTAAAGAATTACGGGGGGTGGGGGGGTATTCAATGTCAAATTATGGGTCTTAATACGAAACTTCAGATATCATGCTATATATCAGTAGAAAGCATGTTCATTCCTCTTTGTAAATATATAAATAATTTTCTGGCACATTCATATTTACTTATCTTTATAGATGGTCAAAGTTGTGTGAAACAAAACTCTATTAAATGAAGGGGGTAGGGGTATTCAAAGTAAAAATACAGGTCTTAATACTAATTTCCAGATATCATGTTAAACATATCAGTGAAAAGCACGTTCACTGCTCTTTTCAAATATATAAATAATTTTCTGGCACATCAATATTTACTTGCCTTGAAAGATGATAGTTATAATAATAATATGAACATTTGTATAGCGTCAATTCCACACTTAAAGTATGCTCTATGTGCTTTTTACACACAATTTTAAATTAGATATAACGTTGAAATAGGTACATGTACATGTATGATCAAAGACGAGGGGTATAAAACTCTATTAAATGAAGGGGGTAGGGGTATACAAAGTAAAAATACGGGTCTTTATACGAAATTACATATATTTTGCTATCATATCACCGAAAAGCACTTCTATTGCTCCTTTCAAATATATAAATAATTTTCTGGCACATTTATATTTACTTGCCTTGAAAGGTGATCATCCCGATATCTTGTTACATATCACAAAAAAGCACATCCATTTCTCTTTTGAAATATATAAATAATTTTCTGGCACATTAAGATTAATGGTTAAGTGAACGGTGGGGGGCGAGGGGGCTATTTATTAAAATAAAACTGCGGGGCTTAATCCAAAATTCCGGATATCTACATGTATACTGAAAAGTAAAGTTAATCCTCTCTTGAAGTGTATTCATTATATTTTCGACGGAATGGATGTAAACATTTTTAAATTAAAATTGATACAGGTTTGGTAGTCTTCACTGGCTGAATTAAAGAGAGTGGTGGGGGTGGGGCGAGTGTTTAATGTCAAAATATGTGTCTTACACAATCTTGTCACAACAACACTTAGCTGCAATTTATAGCTGTGATAATTCTTATCTAAGGCGGCAATTTACATGTATACACTATTCAAGGCTTTGAGCTAGTAAAATTAGGTTTAATTGCAAAATTTTCAACACATATTACCACAGTTTGCATGGAAATAAGTAATTATGTTACAAATTATAGTGAAGAGTGGAACACTGGAATCATAATCTTATCTTACTGAACAGTTTTTCTGTATTTTTGAGTGAAAAACACCCTGTGATTCTGGTTCGTCGGTCATTTTAAACCAAACAGAAATTTTGCATAGCAATTGGGTTTAATCAAATCATATAATTATACGGTATGGTTTCACCTTTATGTCGATGGGAATTGGTTTATTTACATGTATGTTAAGCTATGTACAGTAGGCTACAGCTTGGGGTCAGTGTTATTGGAAATTAAGGGAGTGACATGTACATGTATAGGCCAGTAACTTTTTTGTAGTCAAATGACTACAAAACTTGCTCAAAGGAAGGTCCACTACTGTTGCTGGGGCAAGACAGAAGACATCAGTCTTACCATTTCTGAGGTCGGGTGTTCGATCAGTGCATTGGCCAAGAAAGTTCATTGAGATTTTCTGGCGTGGTTTCTCCTTGTCAGTGATGCAGGATGGAGGGCCTGACAGAGACAGCTGTCTAGTCCTTCAGCCAACTGCTAAAAGCCCCTACGCGCAAGCTTATTATTGAAATAAAATTGAACCATGTGTTAGTCCCACAATGACCTAGTTTGTGTCGAATGGACGTTAAACCCCATTTCTCTCTCTCTCTCTCTCTCTCTCTAAATTTATGTTGTTACAGCAACGAAAAAATTCTTGAGTGTCATTTAGCGATTGAGTACAATAAAAACCACAACATAATTTATATGGAAAACAATCACTCGTTTATTTGTACACATATAGCACGATGTTCAACAAGTGTTCTTTTATCGTTATTAAACACAAACAAATGATACGGGACAAAAGTGTGGATCCACCAGGTGAATAATTACTAATCATTCATTGTTTTATTATCAAGTCTGGTATAGCACATGACTTTGAAGAAAGAACGGATTATTTTCATAAAGATTCGCCCTGGTACTCCAACAATGTATTATGTCTTTTAAAACTAAAAGGGTATTAAAATGGCCTTTCTGCAAGGTTAAGCTATTAAATGTGACATTTATTTACCTTCGGCTACCTGCTGAAGTTAATAAAAGTGTTTATGGACTCCCCGTCCTGATTAGCCCAGTTGGAGCAGAAAAGTAGGATGTTAAACCCCATTTCATTTCATTTTTATGGTCTTCATGTTATGTGTGCTCTTGGTGTAAACCTATGAAATTCAAATGATGCAGTGTTTTATTGGCTTGATATCATACGTGCAAGGAGAATCAGAAATTTTGACAATTTCATTTGGTGTTTTAATGCCTATGGGGGGGGTTGGATGGCTGGATGGCTGAATGGTTAGCGTGCGCGCTGTATCATAAAGTCTGTCATTGATTCGACTGGCGTGGTTTCGAATCCCCGGTAGGGTCGCCTGTCCAACCTCTTGGGTTTTCTCCGGGGCCTCCGGTTTCCTCCCACTGCTAAAGACCCCTACGCACAAGAGAATTATGTAAATAAAATTAAACCATATGTTAGTCCCGAAATGACCTAGTTTGTGTCGAGTGCATGTTAAACCCCATTTCTCTCTCTCTCTCTAATGCCTATTTTTATAGTATTATTAATGACATTTGAAAACACTACATGTATGCTGAATATTTGTTGCTTATAAAATTAGATAGATTATGTTTAACTTAAAAAGTGTCAAGTCATTTGTATGGGACAAAAAACCAAGGTCCTGTACTCCTGTGTACACATTAGCATGCACATAACAGAACCTGTGACGGGTGGAGTTTGAAATAAGAGTAGGTAGTGCAGGAGCGGATCCAGAGGGGGGGTCCAGGGGGTCCGGCCCCCGCCCCTGCTCAGGCTTGAAAATTTGAAGGGTCCAAGAAACTTAAATCTTAAAGCCTGAATCTGACCCAAAAATTGTGAGTTTGTATACATTGAGTTGAGTCGTGACTTTCATTCCATTGTGGGGAAAAAACAAATAGTCACATACAGCTCTGGCAATTAGCCAAAAAACGTCGACAGCATAAATTGCCATCGGGACCAATTGACCCCACGGCAAATCGCCTATTGACGACGGCAATTTTTTAATACCGTACTGTATGAAAATGTAAGTTTATTGAAATTTAGAGTTTTATTAACGCTGTTCGCCTGTTGACGTTGAATATTGTTGTGTTTGCTTTTTAATTTTATCGGCAGCGTTGATAAGAACGCCTGAGTGCCCTGGTGCTCATCAACCTTAACAGAAAGCTCCAGCTAAATGTCGAGAATATCGTTGGGCAGTTCATCAGAAAAAAGCCACGTCGACTTTTCTCTACATTGCACAGTTACGGTGAAGGTTCCACATAATTTTGGGAAGATAAATCTGTTTAATTTTGTGTGAAAATTCCCTGTAAACCTCTACATTTATGATTAAGCCTGTGCAACAATTGCAAGCTATATTATTTATTTTTATGTGCTGAAAGTAAAAACAGTAAACCAAGTGTATAGACTTTTCGTCTGTGAAAGTTTGTGCTCTGGAAAACTTTCCTATACTTAAATGGACTGGTTACTCTAATAGTAAATTGATACTTCTAATAAAGCTTGTTAAGAACAACCATAATATGGTATCTGAAGATATTTTGTTTCTCACCTGTGAAGGGAGCATTCCCCATCAACATTTTAAGGACATTTAATGCGATTTTATTGGCGATTTTTAGACCTGTAATTTTGGAATTTACCTTCCGGAAATACGTCAGAATCCACCAAATTGAATCTAATTTACCAAATTTTTCGGGGGGGGGCCCATATCCCCCTTACAACGTTTAGCGCCTTCGGCACCGCAATAAGCAATTATCCAACCTAGACCCCCCCCTGCAAAAAATCCTGGATCCGCACCTGTAGTGGCGATGCTGTCAAGGCAAAATTATCCTAACGGCACACTGTATTAACCCAGTCGGTGCAGAAAAGTAGAACGTTAAACCCCATTTCATTTTAACTCAAAAATAGTGAATTATAAATGTTTCATTACCGGCAAAAGGAAAAACATGCGACAACTCTTGTTGACTGCTCGGACGATTTAGCTGCTGTGGGCGTATGTTTTGTTGCGTGGCAACCTAACTTTTAAACCGTTCCATCATTGAATATGAATGAGAGACAAAATGTAAATATTTGGTAACAGGCATACACTGTGAAAAGTACATCTATGAAACCCCAAGTTATTCTGAGTATTTCTGCAAATCTTTTCTGTTCGTGGTCATTATAAAATAAGAAATGGGTGATTTTAGCTTTAAAAAAATGAATTTTTTTAAACAATTCCAT